GCCGGCCGGTGTCTCCCGTTGTTGCGGCAGCTGCTCCGGAGCGCGGCCGGGAGCTGCTCCGAGCTCTCGCTCCGGCTGCATTCCCGGCACAGCCTCTGCGCCCTCCTGACCTTCCTGAGCTTCACCTCCCGCCTGCCCGAGCGCCTGGCGCCGGGGAGCTTCGACATCATCGGTGAGCGCGGCCGGAACGCCAGGAATGGAGCCGGGAATGTCGGGAATTAACCCCGGGAATGCTGGGAATGGACCCCGGGATTCCAGGGAATGAACCCCAGGGATGCCGGGAATGAACCCTGGGAATGCTGGGAATGGACCCCGGGATTCCAGGAAATCAACCCCGGGAATCCAGGGAATGAAGCCCAGGGAATCCAGGGAATGAACCCGGGAATCCAGGGAATGAACCCTGGGAATCCAGGGAATGAATCCAGGGAATGAACCCCGGGAATGCTGGGAATGAACCCCAGGGAATCCATGGAATGCACCCTAGGGAATCCCGTGAGTGATCCCAGGAGAATGCTGGGAGTAACCCCATGGGATCCCAGGAATGAATCCAGGGAATGCCGGGAATAACCCCATGGGATCCCAGGAATGAATCCAGGGAATGCCGGGAATAAAGCCCATAGATCCCAGGAATAAACCCCCCCGGAGCCAGAGGCATTGGGAATAGGAAGCACGAGGATAAAACCCCGGGAATTGGGAGTAGGAATTCGTAGGATGATAAAACCCCAGGAATCAGGAATTTGTGGGATAAATATTCCACGGATGCCAGGTGAAGTGGGCTGAGTGGGAATCAGTCCTGGAATCCTGGAATTCCGGGATGTTTGGATGGGCAGGGACACCTCCAAGTATCCCAGAGCGCTCCAAGCCCCCGGAGCGTTCTGGGGACGAGGAAGCCACCTGACCCAGCTGAACACCCATGGAATTTCCATGGAATTTCCATGGAATTCCCGGAGTTTTCTGTCGCAGGGCACAGCCACCAGGTTTTCCACATCTGCGGGATCCTGGGAACGCTTTTCCAGCTGGAAGCCGTCTCCGTGGACATGGAGGAGCGGCGCGGCCGCCTCCCACTCCCCTCTTCCCTGGAAACCTTCGGATCCCTGGGAATGGGAGCGGCCGCCAGCCTGGCCATCCTCGGGGTCTGCTTCTGCAGCCTCCACCCGGAGCCTCCTTCCCGGGAAAAACCCCACTAGAATCCGGGATTGCCTCGGATTCCTGGCAGCGGTCCCGTTCCGGAGGTGTCCGTGGGGGAATTGGATCGCCTGGAAATATTTCCTTGGGAATTTCCCAACCGCACCGGTTTTCTCCGCGGGTGGGCTGGGAAACGCTTCCCATCCGGCTGTTGTCCACAGGGAAAGCGTCGAATCATCGGGATTTGATCCCTGAAAAGGGAGGGAAGCACTCCTGCTTCCCAAAGAATCCGGGATCCCTCAGGTCTGCCCCACGGAGAAATCCAGGGAATGTGGCATCGCCAGCTGGGAGATTCCTGGTGAAGCCAAGCACTCCCTAATTCCTGTTTTTCCCTTGGAATTCCTTTGGAATTCCTTTGGAATTCCAAGCCTTAGCTCAGCCCAAGTGCCTGGAAAGGTGGGGTGGAGGGACTGGAGTTTCCCTCCCGTTTTGATTCCCACGGTTTTCCCTCTTTTATCCGGGAAAAGGGATTCCAGGAGAGCTCCGACGGGATCTTCCCGCAGGAAAGCTCTCCCAGGGTCTCGTTCCCGGAAATCCTGAGAAGTTCCTGCCGTGGGAATTCCGAGTTTCCACGGAGCGGGGCTGGAATTAAGGAATTCCATCCCGTCCTGGCAATTCCCAGGATGGATCCCAGGACTGGGAGTGGGAGACAGGAGAGCTCCACGCCCCGACGCCCCAGGATCTGGGATCCTTTAGGAAAAGTTTGGAATGTTTCGGGATTGGGAGATGCCAGGAGAAAAGCAGGATTTGGGACAGCCCAAGGCTTAAAAGCGCCCTGGAATTTTAAAGAATTCCCAGGAGTTTCCCTCTGTTGTTCCTTGTTTTCCTTCCCTGGTGCCCCTGGATTTTGCAGGAAGAGCCTGGAGCTCCAGGCTTTTCCAGGATCCAGCTTTTCCTCTTGGATTTCCCTGCGGGAACACGGCGCACAGCTTCATTCTTTGGGAATATTCTCCTGGATAATCCCACGGCTCTTCCATTAATTTCCTTTAATTGCCTTTGCCGAGGTCTGACTGCTGCACTTTGGGAGCTGCTGGAATTTGGGATATCACAATAAAATCTGGGATGAACGGCTTAAACAGGGAATAAATCAATCCTTGGAAACGCTGACGAGATTTTCGGGATATTTATAAGCACTGGAATTGTTTTTCCGACGGTTTGATTAAATGAATATAAATCACTGATTTTAATCTGCTCGATAATAAAGCTATTCCTGGGAAAACAAATTCCTTTGGAGATCATCGCTGAGAATTCCAGAGTTTATTTACTTTGGGAGCTGCCGTGACCGGGGAGGAATCCGGCTGGGATTGGCGAGCCCGCGGGAAAAACATCGGGAATCATCCCGGAATTTATTCCAGGTTGTTCAACTTCTGAACTGAAATCCTCCCGTCCTCTCCAGCGCCGGGAATTTTGGGAAAGCTGCATTCCAGAGGGGATGGAATGCCAGAATTCCACGGGATCCTCTGGCTGCTGCCGGATCTTGGAGCGGCACAGGGAGAGGATTTTTCCTGCTTTTTACCAAAAAATCTCTGGATTTTCCTCAATTCCCTTCCCAGGAGAAATGAAAGCTCCGTGCCCAGTTGTTCCAAGGAAAAAATAAACCGGGATATTTACTTGTGGAATGTTGATCCACACCAAATGCCAAAGGAATTTGGGATGAAATTCCAGCAAACCTCCCTCATCCCTCCTAAGCCACGTGGATTTGGAAAAATAGGAAAAAAGCAGGAATGTCAGGCTCCTTCCGGTGATTTTATCCCTTTTATTTTATTTTTTTTTAATATCCTTGAAGTGGAAACGTTCAGGAATTTGGACTAAACATGGGAATTCCCTGGAATTTAAAAGAAATGGAATCCTCTCGCCAGTTCCCCGTTGGAATCCATTCCCTGGGCAGGACGTTTGCTTTTCCCTGGATTCGTTCTGCCCGGTTTTTCCCACACGTCCCACATTTCCACGGTTATTTTCCACCACGGATCATTTCCCCCAGGTTGGGAATTAACTCATTTCCATCGGGTTGGGAATGAACTCGCTCCCTTCAGGTTGGGAATTATTTCCAGCAGGTTGGGAATTAACTCATTGCCAACAGTTTGGGATTCATTTCCACCGGGTTGGAAATTAACTCCTTTTCCACGTGTTGGGAATGAAACCCTTTCCACAGTTTGGGAATTCTTTCCAACAGGCTGGGAATTCACTTATTCCCTGCAGACTGGGAATTCACTTATTCCCTGCAGACTGGGAATTCGCTCGATCCCGTTGGGATGGGAATTAAATCAGTGACTGAATCACCTCCAGGAAGGCCCTGAAAACGGTCTGAATTCCACGTTTTTCCTGAAATATTGGAATTAAACTGATAAAAAGTAAAAAAACCGCAGAAAAACCGGGATCAGCCAGGAGTGGGATTCAAACGGTCTGAATTCCAGCCTTTCTCCTGAAATATTGGAATTAAGGCGATAAAAAGGAGGAAAAATCCCGGAAAAACCGGGATCGGCCGGCGTCGGGATTGGAACGGTCTGAACTCCACCGTTTCTCCTGAAATATTGGAATTAAACCGAATAAAAGGGGGAAAAATCGGGATCTGCCGGGGGCGGGATTCGAACGGTCTGAATTCCACCATTTCTCCTGAAATATTGGAATTAAGGCGACAAAAACGGGGGAAAATCCCGGGAAAATCGGGATCGGCCGGGGGTGGGATTGGAACGGTCTGAATTCCAGGGTTTCTCCTGAAATATTGGAATTAAACCCATAAAAAGCGGAAAGATCCCGGAAAAGCGGGATCGGCCGGGGGCGGGATTCGGTCTGAATTCCACGTTTTTCCTGAAATATTGGAATTAAACTGATAAAAAGCGGAAAGATCCCGGAAAAGCGGGATCGGCCGGGGGCGGGATTCGAACCCGCGGCCCCTGCGCCCACCGCCGCCAGCAGGGGGCGTCGCCACGGGGACCGCGCCGTGCGTGGTGACGTCGGCGGCGGCGCGCGCGCTGATTGGCCGGATTTGAACGCGGCGGGCGCGCGCGCGGCCGGTGCCGCCAGCCCCGGGCGCTGTCGCGACAGAAGCGAGCGGCCGCGACATGAAGGCGGCGTGAGTGGCTCGGGAGCCCCGGGCGGGGAGGGACGGGCCGGGGAAGGCGGGTTCGGGGCTGCCCTGAGCGGCGGCCCGCGGCTCCCGGCGCTGCCGGTGTTCCCGGTGCCCTCCGGCGGTGCCCGCGGCTCCCGGTGCTCCGGGCGCTGCCGTTGCTCCCGCGGCTCCCGGTGCTGCCGGTGAACCCGGTGCTCCTGCAGCCCCCGGTGTCCTCCGGTGCTCCGGGTGCTCCTGCAGCCCCCGGTGCTCCCGGTGTTCCCGGTGTTCCCGGTGCTCCCGGTTCTCCCACTGCTCCCGGTGTTCCCGGTGCCCTCCGGTGTTCCCGGGTCTCCCGCAGTCCCCGGTGTTCCCGGTACTCCCGGTGTTCCCGTTGCCCTCCGGTGTTCCCGGTGCTCCCGGTGCTGCCCGCAGCCCCCGGTGTTCCCGGTGTTCCCGGTGGTCCCGCAGCCCCCGGCGTTCCCGGTGCCCTCCGGTGATCCCGGTGCTCCTGCAGCCCCCGGTGTTCCCGGTGATCCCGGTGGTCCTGCGGCTCCCGGTGCTGCCCGCGGCTCCCGGTGCTGCCCGCAGCCCCCAGTGTTCCCGGTGCTCCCGGTGCTCCTGCAACCCCCGGTGTTCCCGGTGATCCCGGTGCTCCTGCAGCCCCCGGTGTTCCCGGTGCTCCCGGTGATCCCGGTGTTCCCGGTGCCCTCCGGTGTCCCGCTCCGCCGTTCCCGGTGTCTCCTGACTCTCTCCCCTCGGCAGGGCCAGGACGCCGCGGCGGCCGAGGAAAGCCACGAACCCCGCGCAGAAGGACCCGGTGGGGGTGAGTGCCGGGATGGTCCCGGGATCCCGATTCCTACAGCCAGAAATTCCCGGTTTTACTGCCGGGATNTCCCGGTTTTACTGCCGGGATGGTCCCGGGATCCCGATTCCTACAGCCAGAAATTCCCGGTTTTACTGCCGGGATGGTCCCGGGATCCCGATTCCCGCACCCAGAAATTCCCGGTTTTACTGCCGGGATGGTCCCGATTCCCACACCGGGAAATTCCCGGTTTTACTGCCGGGATGGTCCCGGGATCCCGATTCCCGCACCCAGAAATTCCCGGTTTTACTGCCGGGATGGTCCCGGGATCCCCAATTCCCGCACCCAGAAATTCCCGGTTTTACTGCCGGATCATCCCGATTCCCACACCGGGAAATTCCCGGTTTTACTGCCGGGATGGTCCCGATTCCCACACCGGGAAATTCCCGGTTTTACTGCCGGATCATCCCGAGATCCCCGATTCCTACAGTGAGAAATTCCCGGCTTTAACCCAGGCTTCATTCCCAGGTGTACAGCCAGGTTGATTCCCATTTTTTCCCAGTTTATTCCTGTTTCCCCAGGTGTACAGCTGGGTTCATTCCCAGTTGATTCCCAGTTTATTCCCGTTTTCCCAGCTGTACAGCCGGGTTCATTCCTAGTTGGTTCCCGTTTTTCCCAGGTTGGTTCCTGGTTGATTCCCGGTTGATTCCTGTTTTTCCCCTTCTCCCAGGTGTACAGTGGGTTGATTCCCGGTGGATTCCCGGTTTATTCCCGGTTTATTCCCGGCTGATTGATCCCCGTTTTCCCCTTCTCCCAGGTGTACAGTGGGTTGATTCCCGGTTTATTCCCGGTTTATTCCCGGCTGATTGATCCCCGTTTTCCCCTTCTCCCAGGTGTACAGTGGGTTGATTCCCGGTGGATTCCCGGTTTATTCCCGGTTTATTCCCGGCTGATTGATCCCAGTTTTCCCCTTCTCCCAGGTGTACAGCGGGTTGATTCCCGGCTGATCCCCGTTTTCCCCTTCTCCCAGGTGTACAGCGGGTGGATTCCTGGCTGATTCCCGGTTTATTCCCGGTTTATTCCCGGCTGATTGATCCCCGTTTTCCCCTTCTCCCAGGTGTACAGTGGGTGGATTCCTGGCTGATTCCCGGTGGATTCCCGGTTTATTCCCGGTTTATTCCCGGCTGATTGATCCCCGTTTTCCCCTTCTCCCAGGTGTACAGTGTGTTGATTCCTGGTGCATTCCTGGTTTATTCCCGGCTGATTGATCCCCGTTTTCCCCTTCTCCCAGGTGTACAGTGGGTGGATTCCCGGTGGATTCCCGGTGGATTCCCGGTGGATTCCCGGTTGATTCCCGGTTTATTCCCGGCTGATCCCCGTTTCCCCTTCTCCCAGGTGTACAGTGGGTGGATTCCTGGCTGATTCCTGGTGGATTCCCGGTTTATTCCCGGTTTGCTCCCGGCTGATCCCCGTTTTCCCTTCTCCCAGGTGTACAGCGGGTTGATTCTCGGTTGATTCCCGGCTGATTCCCGGTGGATTCCCGGTTGATTCCCGGTTTATTCCCGGCTGATTGATCCCCGTTTTCCCTTCTCCCAGGTGTACTGCCGCGTGCGGCCGCTCAGCCGGGCGGACCAGGAATGCTGCATCGAGGTGCTCAGCGGCACCACGCTGCAGATCCACCCTCCCGAGGGATACCGCGTCTTCCGCAACGGCGAGTACCGCGCGGTACGGCATTCCCGCCGGGAATCCGCCTGGAATTCCTGCCCCGGCCCTGGAAGCGCCTCGGAGCAGCCTGGCTTAGCCGGAGCTGTCCCAGCCTTCCCACCCAAAGTTCTGCAATTCCATGAATCCCATCCAGAGCCTCCTCTCCCAAGTTTTCCCATGATTTGTGGCACTTGCGGAGTGCAGAATCCCGAGGTTTTCCACCCCAAAAATCCGTCTGGGATTAAAAAAAAAAAAAAAAATCACTTCCTGATCCGTCAAATCCGTGGGAACGCCTCAAACTCATGGCATTCCATGGGAATCCATCATCCCACACTGCTCAAACCTGGCCTTGGGACATCCCAGGGAAAAGGAACCCACAGCTTCTCCCGGTGGGAATCTCAGCTGGGATGTGGAATCTTCTGTTTGCAATTTCAGCTGGAAAATTCCTGTGGGAAGGGCGTTAAGGGGTTTTCAAAGGTTTAAATATAAAACAGGCAAAGCTTAATTAATGGAATGTTAATTTAATTAAACAAGGTTTTGTTCAGCAATTTGGAATTCAGGTATTGCCCCAAGGAAGAGTTTTGGTGGAAAAACAACCATCAACAATTAAAATAAGTTTTAAAATTTATTAAAATAATTTATTAAAAAATAAAACCGGTTTGAAATTTAGGGCTATTAAAATTAATTTTAAAATTGATTAAAATAATTCACGAAAAAAATAAAACCAGCTTGAAATTTAAGACTGAAAACTTGAGGCTGGACTGGAAAAAAGCCCAAAATAACCAAAATTCCATGAGGGAACAGCTCCACTTTGGCCACGGTGGATGTTCCTTTGCTTGGATTCCGGGGGGAGCTGGAAGGAAATTCCAGTTTTCGCTGTGCTTTGGGAATTCTCCGTTCCGTGGGATCCTTCTGGCCACTGCAGGCCGTGGAGCTGGAATTCCAGGGTGGTTTTCCCTGTTTTGGCAGACCCAGTATTCCTTCAAGGAGGTCTTTGGCACGCTGGTGGTGCAGAAGGAGCTTTTTGACGTGGTGGCCAAACCTCTGGTGGAGGATCTGATCCGGGGCAAGAACGGTGAGCAGAGCTCAAATTCCCAGGATTTCAGCGCTCCCGGGGTTTGGTTGGAATTGTGGCTCAGCTCCTCACAGCTCACCCCTGGAAGCTCTTTCTGGAATGGGAATCCAGGGATGGTTTGGGTGGGAATGGGTGATTCCAAGGCTCCTGAGGTTTGGGTGGAATTGTGGCTCAGCTCCTCACACAAAATGGGATTTAATTTCCATTGGGCTCTTCCCTTGAAGAAATGAAGGAAAAAATAGGGAAAAAAAAGGGAAAATACTTAATTAATGAGGTAATTGTATCCCACTGAAATTCCCAATCTGTTCCTGCTGTTCCAACAAGAGATTTGAGCTTGGAGGAAGCCGTTCCCCTGGAAGCTCTTTCTGGAATGGGAATCCTGGGATGGTTTGGGTGGGAATAGATGATTCCAAGGCTCCTGAGGTTTGGTTGGAATTGTGGCTCAGCTCCTCACAGCTCACCCCTGGAAGCTCTTTCTGGAATGGGAATCCTGGGGTGGTTTGGGTGGGAATGGATGATCCCATGCCGTGGAAGTGTCGATGGAGCGGCCTGGCTTAGCAGGAGGTGTCCCTGCCTTTGGAATTCCATGAATTATGCATCCAAATCCTTCTCCCCGCTCTCTCAAGTTTTCCCATGGTTTGTGGGAGTTGCAAATTGCAAAATCAGCATTTTGGGCTTTTAGCAAAGCAGGTTTTGAACTCCCAAAAAAAAAGCAGCAAACAGCAAAAAAGCATCACTTCCTAAACCATCACATTAAAGCTCACCCCATTCCATGGGCAGGGAAACCTTCTGGTATCCCAGGGTGCTCCAAGCCCCATCCAGTCTGGAATATTCCAGGGATGGCAGAACCAGTGCCAGGGCTGGTTTGTGGCTCCTGGAGAGGATGATGGATGTTCCCAGCCCTGACCACCAGCCAGAGCTGCCAGCACTTTGGATGCTGTGGAATATTTGGGTAGA